TGTGATATTATACCCAAAAATTCTTCATACAGTGGACTACCAGTAAAATTGATACAGATTTGGGACCAAAAATTATTCAGACAGAGTCTGGGGAAAAAACAGTGAAGTTGGGGTTTTCATGAAGCTGGGTGACAGCATGCGCAGGAGACTACAGGCTGTTATTAAGGCTAAGGGTTGCCCGGCTAAGTATTGATAGTTGTGTAAATACTGTCATACTAACAGCTGTCTAATTTTTGGTTGATTGTAATCTATTACATACCTTTCTATCAAAGTTATCTAACATTATCAAGCTGAATTTGTTCTGACACAATTTAACAGAGTTCTTGTCATATTTTATTAACATTTTCTAAACTATAGCGAATAAACTGTGATAATGTGAGAAATGTTGAAGGTGTCTGAATAAATTTTGGTTTGACTGTATCTATTTGACAAATGAAGTTAACCAACTAACATTATACATACTCTTTTGGTTTCTGTACCCAATATTTAAAAAATTTACAAATTCAATAAAAATATTGGTATCGGTACTCGGTAAGTACCAAAAATAAAGGTATCGGTATCGGCAAGTACCAAAAATAAAGGTATCGGTATCGGGCGAGTACTGGAAAAAGTGGCATCGGTGCATCCCTAGTTCGACCAAATGTCAGATGGGGGAGTGTTCGGGTAACCTGTTTGACAACAGTCGTTATTTTTATAATTTGGTTTGGTGGCACAAAAATGACACACTTTTGCGTCTTGATATTTAAAATATCAGATCTACTAGTGTAGACCACAATGTTCATAATAACTGCTGTACAGCAGTGGCCTCAAACCGCCCAGCAGAATTTAGCTTCAAACCTAATTAAACACACCTGAACAAGCTCATCAAGGCCTTTCAGGATTACTAGTGCTGTGTTGTTATCCGATATCCGTGTTTACATGAATCCCCAACCAAACTGAATGAATGCATTGCGATCGCTTTGACCCTCGGGTTTTGTATTGCCGTTATAAAAATAATTGATATAATTCACATCGGATGATTCTTTGATTTTAATGCATGTGTTTATCCCGCTATACTATGATCACCTGCCAGCATGGATAATCATTGATGCAACTGAAGTTTGCAGTGCAAAACTGGCTGAACTGATTGACTGAAGAGATAATATTACAGCAGTTTCCATTAGTTATCTTATCTATGGGTCGTTAGATCTAGAATTCTAAAGAGAAATAAAGTGCTGCAGTAAGATTGCATTTATTTGAATGAATTCACGAAAGAGGTTGTGTGTGAACTACTTGCGTCTGTGAAGCCTCTTCAAAGAGTGAAGCTGTGAGTTTTATTTCCTAAAAAACTGCGACATTATCATCTTGTCGCTGAAGAATATAATGTAGCATTTCTTTATAAAATCAGTTCCAGAGCTCCTGAATGTTTCTGCGTGTGCTCAATCACACATTATTAATGCACAGGCCTGTCTGTTTACATTCACTTTATCCGATATCTCGGTTTACATTGATTGTCAGTGATCGCTTTACTATGCACAGGTAGTCCCTCGGATTCTGAATGGGCATAACTCACGTCGAGTGGCCATTATTTGCCAGCATGGACAACAGCTGTCATGGATGTTTTGCAGCATATAATCTGACTGAACGGATAAAGACCAGAAAATAACAGTAATTTTCATTTGTTATTTTATCTACAGCTCGTTAGATGTAGAATTTTGAAATGAAATAAAGTAGAGCTGTAAGATTCTATTTATTCGAATGAATTTGAATGAATTAATGAGAGAGATAAAGCACGACCAAATAGCCTAATAGTGAAGCTTATTGTTTTAATTACGAAAACGGTAATCATCTCATTGTTGAGAAATTTTATGTTGCTTTTAGTAGCGAAGCTACTATCAATAAAATGCGAACGCATAGCCTACAGCAAGCCGGGTTGCCCTCGGATTGTGAGTTCTGATGGGAATCGGATATTTGTGTTTAGACAAAGGTTGGATGTCCAGATATGGGATATGTATCTGATTTAAAACCACATTTGGAAGTGGCTCAGATCAGATGCGGAAAAATCAGATCTCGTGCGGATTTGTGTGTTTACATTTGTGCAACAAATTCTGATCGGTGTCAGATATGAGGGGAAAAAATCTGATTTTTTTGTGCCAGTGTATAATTGAGAGCTATCAATTTTAACATTTAACAACTTTTAATTTACGTGAACTTTAAACAATCTTCACAAACAGACATACGTGTTGAAACACAGGTCAGCCGTCCATATATTGAATATGCATCTAATTTAAAACCACATTTGGAAGTGGCTCAAAAAAAAAAAAAAAAAACTGTGCGGATTTATGTCTTTCCTAGTGTGCAACAATATCTGATCTGTGTCACATGGGAGTAAAAAAATCAGCGTTTAAGACAGCCTCACTATTCATCCTGCTGAAGCTTTGTCATATGCCAGTGGTTTAGACTGAATCAGACCATCTGGGAGAAGAATAAACAGGCAGACTGTCACTGATCTCTATAATTTCACTAATTCTAAATGCCACAGACTCACAGATTCACCCCAGTCAAGCCAATCACTGGTTGCTAGCTTGTTTATGTATCTTACGGAGCTGAAAAAGCTCTTCATCGTTTACACTAGTGCAAGGTCAGTTTTTCTGAACCTCACAAATCTAAAAGATTGGAAGCTCTGAACTGTCGACCCATCTTAAGTTCAGCATTTTTATAAACTGAGGGATATAATTACTTTTTCTTGTAATCTACAGCAGTCACAGCTGCGGTCTATAAAGCTAAACTCAAGTGTTATCCCTGATATTAGCGCTGTGTGTTCTAGATGGACACACCTTCATATCTTCATTCACACATGAGTCACTGTATCAGGGGCAGAAACAGCACTGATGCGTGGTCTTATGTGTGCACGTACTTTGCTTTGTGAAGCAGGTGATGGTTTAAAGATCTCTCGAACATCCGGGACACTGTACGGTTTGTTGCGTTTGCGTAGCGTCTGTTTGAGTGTCTCCACGCGTCTCTCCACGGCGGCTGCTTGCGTTCGGGTCAGAGTTGACAGCAGAACGATGCTGTCCTCGCCGTCTGAAGCCGATTCGTCGAACAGCGTCGCAAGCCCCGCCTCCATCAGCCATGCCTCCTCCTGCTCGCCCTCTGCAGAACACAACAGAAGATGATCATATGTCAGATAAGGCCAGACATTTCTGACACAGAGTGACGTACAGCTCTGTCAAACTCAACCACTCTAGCTTTATTGATTTTAATCACACAAGTGACATATGTGACCCTGGACCACAAAACTAGTCAAAAGGGTCAATTTTTCAAAATTAGAATAGGACAATATTTATTTCTCCGATCACAAATGCAGACATGGTTTTGTGTTTACGCGGCGCGATGCAATGCAACGTGTAAAAAGACAGTATAAGTCATTATAATCAGTAATTATGTCCCCACTGGATGCAACTAATGCCTGGTTTATAATGGGTTTTAATGTGTTTGTCTCGTCGCTCCGGCCGGACAGGGCATCACAGTATGGTGAGGGGCGTAACATTTCCGTCACACGCTTGAGGTATTCAGCCAATCACAACGCACTGGATAGCTGGCCAATCACAGCACACCTCGCTTTTCAGACCGATGAGCTTTGTAAAAATCGATGCGTTTCAGAAAGGCGGGGCATAGAGGAGAAACAATAATGTACAGTATGTGGAAAATAATGTGTTTTTTGAACCTTAAACCATATAAACACATTTCATTACACCAAATACACAAAATAATGTTCTTTTTAGCAACATCATATGACCCCTTTAAGAAGTGTTCGGGTTCAAAACTTAAAAATGTTGAATATGTTTAACACTGTTTCCTGCTGGTACCTTAACACACTCGTGACAAATGGAAATTGAGAAAAAAGTTCACTCTTGTGGTATTAAAAGCACACTCTTCATAAGGCTGCCCAGGTCAAGCAGTGTGGTTTAATTTTCCATTTACACAAAGAAGTGAAGGGTTTACAATTTCAGTCTATCTGCAAACAACATGCAAGACCTTTCTCTCTTTTCTCTTCTGTTTCCTGTCAGTTTTATGAACTTAAATGCTCAAGTGGGTTTAATACTTTAAGGCAGGGGTGCCCAACCCTGGCCCTGGAGATCTACTCTCCTGCAGAGTTCTGTTCCAACCCTTATCAAACACACCTGTCTGTAATTATCAAGTGCTCCTTCAGATCCTAATTAGTTGGTTCAGGTGTGTTTGATCAGGGTTGGAGCTGAACTCTGCAGGAAGATATATCTCCAGGAACAGGGTTGGGCACCCCTGCTTTAAGGTATTGTGTTTAAGATCTTAGGGTTAGTCATTTCATTTCATTTATTTACTTATAAAGCACAAATAAACACAACAAGAGTTGACCACTGTGCTGTACAAAAGAGGAAAGAGGAAATAAATATAATACACTAAAACATAAGTTAAAATGAGACCAAGAATTATAATTAATTAAATGCAAGAATAAAAAGATGAGACTGTAGCTTAGATTTAAAATCATATACAGAAGATGCAGATCTCACAGATAAGGGAAGACTGTTCCATAACCTAGGACCGGCCACCGCAAATGCACGGTCACCTTTCATCTTCAGTCTTGATCTTGGATATGACAGAGTAATATTGTCTGAGAATCGCAAACATCTGGCAGACCTATTCACATTTACAAGATCTGACCAATAAGAAGGTGCCAGATCATTTAAAGAATTAAAAACAAACAACAACATTTTAAATTCAACTCTATAACGCACTGGCAACCAGTTTAAAGACATTAAAATCGGAGTAACGGGTTCTCGTTTACGAACCCCTGTTAAAAATCTGACTGCGGCATTTTTAACCATTTGAAGCCTTGACATAGTGGATTGGGGTAGTCCAATATACAAGGAGTTACAATAGTCCAAACGTGACAAAACAAAAGCATGTATGACTCTTTCAAGATATTTAAAAGATAGAAAAGATCTAACTTTTGACAAAAGTTTAAGATGGAAAAAACATGACTTAACTACCCAGTTAATATGTTGGTCAAACTTAAGGGAGGAATCAAAAAGAACTCCCAAATTTTTCACCGTTGGTTTGATAGAGTTTAAATGACCACAGTTAAAAGTTGGTTTTCCTTTACCCACAGAGGGTCCAAAGACAATTGCTTCCGTCTTTCCCTCATTTAAATGCAAATATTTTTTTAGACATTTTCCAAGATCTTACATCAGCTAAGCATGCAAGCAATGTTTCTAAACCATTCTTGTCATTGTGTTTTAAAGGTAAATAGATTTGGGTGTCACAAAAAGCATAAAAATGAAAGGACACTCCATGCTTCCTAAAAATTTAACCTAGTGGAAGCATGTACAGTGAAAACAAGATGGGAGCCAAAATAGAGCCTTGAGGAACACCAGAGGTAAGAGGAGCTACAGATGAACCAGCGCGACCGATACTTACTGAAAAAGTTCTGTTACTACGATAAGATCTGAACCAGCTCAGGGCACTTCCTTGGATGCCCACACACTTTTCAAGGCACGATAAAAGAATGCCATGATCAACTGTATCGAATGCTGCACTCAGATCTAAAAGCACTAAACTTACCGAGTTCCCAGAGTCAATTTAAATTTGTCATTTAAGACTCAGTACTATGATTTTTCCTAAATCCAGACTGGAATTTTTCAAGAGTATTATTTGTTTCCAAAAAAGTCTGTAACTGTAATAACACAACTCTCTCTAAAATTTTAGCAATAAAAGGTACATTTGAGATTGGCCTAAAATGCGATAAAACGGTTGTATCCAGATTAGGCTTTTTCAACAGAGGTTTCACCATTGCATGTTTACAATAAACTGGAACAAACCCAGATATAAGGCTCTTATTTACAATTGCAATAATCCAGGCACCAACACTATCAAAAATCAGTTTAAAAAAGTGGGTAGGAACAATATCAAGAGCAGATGTAGTAGGCTTCAGTTTGACGACTGAATTCATTAAACCCTGCATGGTAATCGGCTCAAATGAATTAAAAAACCTAGTAGGAGTCAGAAGATCTGAAGGGTCATTAGTAAAAGAAATAATGGACTGTCTAATTGCTTCTATTTTTTCCACAAAAAATCTTCACACAAAGTTGAAGACTCTGCAAGACAGATATTGCCTGTTGGACTAAAAACAGAATTCAAGATATTAAACAAAGTCCTAGGACTATTGGTGTTTTTGGAAATTATCACAGAAAAATAGTTAGACTTGGCAGCTTTCACAGCTTTTTGATATGTTATTAAAGACTCCCGTAGGATTTCATAGGATACTTGGAGTTTATCCTTTTTCCATCTACGTTCTGCTCTTCTGCAGACTTGTCTTAGACTATGAGTATTACTGTTTAGTCATGGTTCAACTTTGTTTTTTCATTCTCATAGGGGCAACAATATCTAAAACATTGGTGCACAAAGAATTAAACATGTTAAGAAGCTCATCCACATTTAACGTATTAGCAAGATAGTCCACAGGGAGCAAATGACAAGCCTCGTTGAATACTATAGAAAAATCTTCCACAGAAGTTGGACCAAATAGGCCAACACGTGACCATTTTGCAGGTCTAATGATTTCAGTAGTATGACAAGAAATATCAACAGTAAACATAATAGGCTTATGATCTGAAAAACTCAAATCACCAATGTGAACATCTGAAACAGAAAGGCCATATGTTAACACCAGATCAGAACACGAGCATGTGTTGGTTCTTTCACCCACAGACAAAAAACACAAGCAACAATGAGACTGAGAAATTCTTTGCCTAATACTGTGGAGTCACAACAAACATGAATATTAAAGTCCCCAACAATTAAAATGATATCAAATTTAGGTGTAATACCCCCTAAAAATTCAGAGAACTCGGCAATAAAGTTTTTATTTGTTTTTGGTGGACGATAAACCACTGCCACCACTAATGAGTTCATCAGATCTAATTTAAAAAGTTGAACATCCAATCTTGTGAAAGTGTCCGTTTCTATTATTCGACAACAAAAATTGTTTTTAAAAACAGATGCCAGTCCTCCGCCCCGACCAGACAAACGGGGAGAATTTTCAACACCTTTTTGCACTCGTTTGAGTAGCTGTAATACATCGCAGTAATACCCCACAGCGGACCACAAATATAAATATAATGACTGACTCAAGCCCTAAAAATTGAGCGCACATCTATTACTGTTGCACTCGTGTGTCGCACCAAAAGACCCGCATGCTTAGAAAGCCATGCAAGTTTAACTTTGAAAAAAACATATATCGAGACTTTATGGTGGGTTTTTCCCCATCCCACTGCATCTCATGTTTTTAAATGAAAAATGTACTCTGTTAAAAAAATATATTTTTTTAGGTAAAAAAATAACTAATCACATGCATTAATGCGTTAATTTTATATATATGCACACACACATTTATATATACTGTATATACATATATATTAGTTGCAAAAGTAACATTTATCATTTTTGTATAGTTTAAGTACTAAAATAACTATAAACTAAAAACTAAAACTTTAAAACTGTACAGAAAATTATACAGGCTACTGCACGTGCCGCCAGGACAGGAAAATAGTTTTTTACTGACATATGACCTGACAGCATCTCGTCTGACCACAGTTCACTGCTGTTCTACTGAAGCTCCTCAACACCTTTTTGCACTCGTTTGAGTAGCTGTAATACATCGCAGTAATACCCCACAGCGGACCACAAATATAAATATAATGACTGACTCAAGCCCTAAAAATTGAGCGCACATCTATTACTGTTGCACTCGTGTGTCGCACCAAAAGACCCGCATGCTTAGAAAGCCATGCAAGTTTAACTTTGAAAAAAACATATATCGAGACTTTATGGTGGGTTTTTCCCCATCCCACTGCATGTTTTTAAATGAAAAATGTACTCTGTTAAAAAAATATATATTTTTAGGTAAATCACATCACAATCACATGCATTAACGCGTTAATTTTATATATATATGCACACACACATTTATATATACTGTATATACATATATATATTAGTTGCAAAAGTAACATTTATCATTTTTGTATAGTTTAAGTACTAAAATAACTATAAACTAAAAACTAAAACTTTAAAACTGTACAGACATTTAAAAAGCAAATACAAATATGACAAAAATACAACAAAATTATCAACTGATCAATTTCATATTATTTTTTAATTTATTAGTTCCCAAATTATTTTTAATTTTGTGAATATTAAAGTAATTACACATTTCTTTTATGCATTTGTTTTTACCATATATTACCATATAAAATTAACAAAAACTATAATATATCAATAATACTAAAATAACACTGGTTTACAGCTGCGCTTTGGGTTGTCTGTAGATTAATTATCATTTAAATTTAAATGTGATACTCCTCCTCATGTAATTTAGTTTTAATGATGATACAGTTTGTCATAATTCAACATACCTAAACTTAACCTTACTAACGATTAATAAGCAGCTAATTATGAGTTTATTGAGGCAAAGGTCACAGTTAATAGTTAGTTAATAGTAAAAACTGGGCCCCAAACTAAAGTGTGTGTGACCCTATTTTATAATTAATGGTAATTTTTTTTAAGGCAGTCGTCAATGAAATAATCCAGAAATGGTTTTATTTTCTGTACAGAGCTGCATCTGTCAGGCTTCAGAGTAGATCATTATTTAGTCTTGTAGCTGTAGAGGAAACACAGATAAGGAGCGCTGACTCAAACACAGAGCGACGGGCGCTTCTTACCATCAGCCACCTTCAGCTGCAGGTCCTCCTGCGTCTCTGCATCTCCGCTGCGCTGGATGATCTCCACCTCTTTGAAGTAGTCCACCATGGCCTGCTCGTCCAGAGAGTCCTGGGAGCTGCAGCGCTGGTACGGTGCCTTACCTGAGCCTTTGCACCGCTGGACATTGTACTGGCCGGTTCTGCGGCTGCGGGAACACAGAGACAGATGTGAAATACACCAAATCATCACCTGAAATGCTTTATTCACATCCCAGCAGTCAGCATTCCCGTTCAGACCAGCTCTCAAATCCCAGTGCAGCAGTTCAGGCAGACAGACTGATGATCACAGGTCACAGACACAAAGGCCACACTCACACCAGCACTTCTCTGTTTGCACTGGACTCCGTGAGTCATCAGCATCTGATAATAGTTTGGAGGAAATGCATTTTTAATGAGGGAAACTTTGTGATTGTAATGATAGTTTCTGTTGACTGATATTCATCACCGAGAGCTCAGGGCCTCTTTACAATCTGAACACCAAGATTGCATATGTTTTTAAAAAAAAGTTTCTTACAAGACAAATATTACATGGCTCAATATATTTGTTTCATATTTATTATTAAAATCTCAAAATGATTAATTATTCAAAAATGTAATTTTAATTTTATTCCATTATTTATTCAAATGTTATTCCACATCCTGTGCAGTGTTATCCTCCAAACAATGTCCAATGCAAACACATATAGTCAATGTATCTATGCTATTAAGTACCATTACCATTTTTAAAGTTGAAGTTCAATTAAATCTACATTAAAAATGCTAATAAAGAAAAGCTAAAAACTAAATGTCAACTGATACAAGGCAGGAGAAACACGCATATTCACTCATCTGAACATCGTAATTATATTAGATTTATACTCCATTACAATAGTCCCTTTACTGTTACTGCTTCATAAAAAAATACCAGTATTTCCGTTAAATTGAACCACTTTAAACCTAAATGACAGACAATAAATATTTTGTCAAAATGTATCTTTTAGTCATTTTAATGCACTCTTATTGTATTGCGCTCCGTCTGTGTGATGTGCATGAGCGCGCCGGCACTAGTTCAGTGAAGTTTAACACACGTGTCTTCATGCAAAATGTAAATAACTGCATGCGTTACACACTGAAAAAAGCAGCCGCTCACTCAGTGTCTTCCGCTATATCATATGCAACTTGTCCACAGAAATGTGTTATTCACCACTGTAATGTGACCAGCGGATGCTTTCTGTGCACAGAACTCAGATGTGATTAATTGATAATCAAATTAGTTGATTATTATTGATTTAATCAATTATTTGTTGCCGCCCTAACTAAAATAAAGAAAACTGTGCTTCAGATTTCACATATGAATAAGTTAAGTGAAATCTTTTAGGGGTACAATTCAGTGAAAAATCATGCTGAGAATGTAACAGGCATTAATTGAAGTTAATTGTTTTTTTTGGTGCGAGAAACCTTGACTAGCATTATACTGTAAGTAAGTGGAGTTTAGGGGGAAATGCTACAAAAGTGCAGAATATTGGAGCCTCTTCTCATTCGATGCATGACACGGCAGGCACGAAGAGTCCCGCTGCTCACCCCACCAGAGGGAACAAGTCAGGAAGAGCGAAAAATAAGCCTCTGTGCTACTAGGACATAAAGATGCTATTGTCAGGCTGGTTGTGCGGGGTAGGACACGCAGAGCGCTCCCATGGTTTAAACAGGCTGCTTTATTCCCTCTCAGGATGAACGTATGAATAAACGCTCAAAGCTCAGCTGCTGGACACGAGAGCTACTGGATGGCATCAAGCAGTTTTTATTTGAGATTTCAGTACAGTGAGGCTGTAAAGAGGGCAGCGGCTCTCACTCGTGTGGGAAGCGGTGAGCGAGCAGAACTGTGCTGCCAGTAACGCTCCAGTTTCTGGGTCACGGCCGCTTTAGGACTGAACCTGTAACTGTGCATTAGAGGCCAGTGGCGGACAAAGTGCACAAGTCAAGTGCTTGAGTACAAGTACAGATACCCTAATAAAATATTACTCCAGTAAAAGTATTGAGTACTCCTTTTCAATTAAAAGTAAAAGTAAATTTTTTAATGTACTTAAGTATTAAAAGTAAAAAGTACTGATCAATGAATGCTTAGTTATTTCAACTTGCATACTTTTATATTTAATAATTTTATACTATATATTTTATATAATCTTACTGCCAAAATACCAATACCAACATATAGTATTTAAAACGAGGAAAAACTAAATTTGTGTTGACAAACAATATACTGTAAAAAGGGCAAAATGTATAAAATGTTAAGAACGCTATGCAAACATACTGGGTTGAAACAGTTCTTGGCTTATTTGGAGTCAGACTTGTGAATTCACTGAATTGTTAACTGGAGACTCGCTCTGACCGGATCGTCTGAATCAGTGAGTTGTTTGGAGACTCGCTCTGCATGGTTCATTTGAATCAGTGAGTTGTTTGGAGACTCGCTCTGCATGGTTCATTTGAATCAGTGAGTTGTTGTCTGGAGACTCACTCTGAGTGAATCATCTGAATCAGTGAGTTTGGAGACTAGCTCTGACCGATTCATTTGAATCAGTGAGTTGTTGTCTGGAGACTCGCTCTGCACGGTTCATTTGAATCAGTGAGTTGTTGTCTGGAGACTCATTCTGAGTGAATCATCTGAATCAGTGAGTTTGGAGACTCGCTCTGACCGGTTCATTTGAATCACCGAGTTGTTGTCTGGAGACTCGCTCTGAGTGGATCATTTGAATCAGTGAGTTGTTGTCTGGAGACTCGCTCTGAGCGGATCATTTGAATCAGTGAGTTGTTTGGAGACTCGCTCTGAACAGTTCATTTGAATCAGTGAGTTGTTAAATGGAGACTCGAGCTGCGTTCCAGTTCACTTTTATAATGCCCTTCACTCGCTAACTTCCCTCCATCTCATTTACTCGGATGTACGTCATTGATTACATTGCATGAGTGCCCACTACTGGCAGAACCCTTGGAATGGGCTGAATTGGAACATCCTAAGCCCTTGATCACTTAGAATCCACTATGGAGTTGGTTTATTGTTTACGTTTCCACTTACGAATTTGTTTGGTGCAGCATTCTATATGTATATAGATATGCTTGGGCTGTTATAAATGTAAAAAAAATAATTTATATATTATAGAGTTGTTTGGGGTGAGGATAAATTAAACAATCTGCGATGATGCCATAGTCATGTTGTATTTTGGTCAACAGAGCAGCCTGAAGTGTGCATATGAAGCACTCCCTCTGTCAAAATCGAGGGGTCAAGGGTATGTCCACGTAAATTTCCCTCGTCCACTTGAAGTGGAATGCACTTCAAAATGGAGGCAGGATTCCCCCGAGGGTAAGTGCTTAGGGAAGTTTGCGAGTGCGTGTCTAAAAGTGAACTGGAACGCAGCCTTGCTCTGACTGGATCATTTGAATCACTGAGTTGTTGTCTGGAGACTCGCTCCGAGCGGATCATTTGAATCACTGATTGTTGTCTGGAGACTCGCCAAGGCCGATATATCGGCCGATATTTGGCATTTTTCAAATATCGGCATCGGCCGATAAGTTTTTCTGTTTGGCCGATGCGTTCGTGGCGGGACTTTTATTTTTGACAGCGCACTGAATTTTATTTTGACTGCACTGAGAACGGCAGCGCCTCAACCTTACAGTCTATGGCCTGAACACAGTTCCCACATGTTTGCTGTCGTCGTTAACAGTTCTGTCCACGTACAGAAGTCTGTCTAATAATCAGAAAGAACTATTAAACAAAGGAATTAAAATGTGTGGATCATTTGAATCAGTGAGTTGTTGTCTGGAGACTCGCTCTGAGTGGATCATTTGAATCAGTGAGTTGTTTGGAGACTCGCTCTGAACAGTTCATTTGAATCAGTGAGTTGTTAAATGGAGACTCGAGCTGCGTTCCAGTTCACTTTTATAATGCCCTTCACTCGCTAACTTCCCTCCATCTCATTTACTCGGATGTACGTCATTGATTACATTGCATGAGTGCCCACTACTGGCAGAACCCTTGGAATGGGCTGAATTGGAACATCCTAAGCCCTTGATCACTTAGAATCCACTATGGAGTTGGTTTATTGTTTACGTTTCCACTTACGAATTTGTTTGGTGCAGCATTCTATATGTATATAGATATGCTTGGGCTGTTATAAATGTAAAAAAAATAATTTATATATTATAGAGTTGTTTGGGGTGAGGATAAATTAAACAATCTGCGATGATGCCATAGTCATGTTGTATTTTGGTCAACAGAGCAGCCTGAAGTGTGCATATGAAGCACTCCCTCTGTCAAAATCGAGGGGTCAAGGGTATGTCCACGTAAATTTCCCTCGTCCACTTGAAGTGGAATGCACTTCAAAATGGAGGCAGGATTCCCCCGAGGGTAAGTGCTTAGGGAAGTTTGCGAGTGCGTGTCTAAAAGTGAACTGGAACGCAGCCTTGCTCTGACTGGATCATTTGAATCACTGAGTTGTTGTCTGGAGACTCGCTCCGAGCGGATCATTTGAATCACTGATTGTTGTCTGGAGACTCGCCAAGGCCGATATATCGGCCGATATTTGGCATTTTTCAAATATCGGCATCGGCCGATAAGTTTTTCTGTTTGGCCGATGCGTTCGTGGCGGGACTTTTATTTTTGACAGCGCACTGAATTTTATTTTGACTGCACTGAGAACGGCAGCGCCTCAACCTTACAGTCTATGGCCTGAACACAGTTCCCACATGTTTGCTGTCGTCGTTAACAGTTCTGTCCACGTACAGAAGTCTGTCTAATAATCAGAAAGAACTATTAAACAAAGGAATTAAAATGTATACAAAAAAGTATTATAACGATTGCTTTTATATTGTTAGTAACAAAGGCAAACATTATAATACTTTTCACACCTCCGTGTGGGCACAGGATGATGACACAGAAGGGCACTTCAAGAAACAGTTATTTGGTCCCCTACACCCTTCAACCCTTCGAAGCTCTCACTCCGGAGGGTAAACCCCTTTGAAGGGATTAGGGCATAGGCATGAGCCCTTCCGAATGGAACGCAGGGAGTGAGTTGTTAACTAGAGACTCGCTGTGACTGGATTATTTGAATCTTTTTGTTTTGCTTTGTTTTTTTAAACACCAAACTTCAAACTCCTCTATGCCACTTTTTTGATGATT